CAGGAATTCAAGTGCTGTTCCTTCCTTCCCTCTGCCTCAAACGACTATCCTTCCCTGTGAGTCTATTGATTTGCCTGCACTATATCAAATTTTAATCACCATAAAATATAGGCTTATTCAGCTCTGCCATCAGCAAGTGGCAACTGCTTTTTTTTTGATATCCCTTGAACCGAGAGGTTAGACAAATGGGCTTCATAAGATGGTCCTTCCAAATTAGCCCTGCAAAGTGACTCAGGCATATCACCTTTGGGAAGAATTCTGTTATGGCTGCAAGGGATGTGTGGGCCCTGAACGAGGCCAGAGACCTAGCAGAAGTATTTTAATAGCATTTTAATGTAGGTTTTGGCTTAGGGATGAGGGATTCCTTAAGGAAACGAACTGTGGCAGTGATCCAGACCTAGTCCTACAACTGGTGCATATGAGATTGCACTGGCTCATGCCACATTCACAAAATAACAGACTGTCCTGAGTCAAGAAGATAGATTTGACACCTATTCCCTTCTTAGTCACCAAGGGTCCCTCTGTTGATTTTCTGCTGAAGCCATTCCAGCTCACCTCTCTTCTTACCATGAGTTGCAAAGGTAAATGCCCCCCTTTAGGCAAAAATAGACCACAAATCAAATTCTCCAAAATATTCTTCTTCTGGTTGAAAGCAGTACATGACGTTCTCGCCTTCTTAGAACTCCACACCAGAGGAAAAGGCTTTTTCAGGGCAAATACTGGATCTGAAGTGTAATGTGGGCTGCAATGGGTCTTGCGACGTTTCAAGGTTTGCTTCTCATATTAATTTGTCAAAGTGTATTCTTCAGACACCAACCAATCGACACTTTGAACATCCCTTGTCAATGGAACAAGTGCACATATATTTCAACATTTTTTTAAAAGCTTAACATCTGGAACCACCTGATGAGTAGGGTCGGGGGCCTCTTTTCCCCTCTATTCCTCCGACATGCATGCTTCCTCAGTTGCAATTTTCCACCAGACTTCCAGTTCTCTTTCTCTGTTACCAAATGCCCTCACCTCCCCAACTCAAGACATAGCTCTCCATTTTAACATGTGATCTGCTAGCAGATCTGCTCTGCCAGCAGAAGAGCCAAAGGGGGGGGGGAGGGGACCAGAAAAGGCAGGGCAAGGGGGTGGGAGTCAAGATAAACCAGACTGAAACTTTCAGACCAGTCACATAGCTACAAAATTAGCACAAGGCTTGATCCCTGTGACAGACAGCCCTTACTCACTTCTAATATCCCTAGGCTGGAAGAGATTTAGATTCCACGTAGCTCTGGCTGGCCTAGGGTTGCCTTTGCTGGCCCTTGGCCATCTTTTTTTACTCAAAATTGCATTGTCATCTTTTTATCCACACACATTTATACACACACACACACACACACACCTCCTTTCCAAGTCCTCTCAGCTCAGCTGTCAACAACTGAAAGAAAGAAAGAAAGAAAGAAAGAAAGAAAGAAAGAAAGAAAGAAAGAAAGAAAGAAAGAAAGAAAGAAAGAAAGAAAGAAAGAAAGAAAGAGAGGGAGGAGAGAGAGAGGGAGGGAGGGAGGGAGAAGCTAAAACTTTATTTTAGACAATTCATCATGTTACAAACATATAATGCAATTAGCTATTCATCTTACTTACTAAATATTTTAACATTCTAAACACCCGCTATGGCTCTGCCATATTTGAAGGAGGGCACAGACAGGAAACAATTATTCCCCTGCCACCTTATAAGGCTCATTATGTGACTCATACAATCCCGATTCAGCCTATATTTCTTCCATATTGTGTTTGTGGCCGTGGCCCAAACGGCTGTTATAACACCATCTGATCAAGGAAGGGATAGTTTGCAATGGGCCAAGCCACGTGCAGTCCAAAACATGAGCCATCTCTCTGTCTCTACATGGCTCCTGGAGTGGGGACTGGACATGCCCCGATCTTTGCATTTGATTTCTGTAAACAAAAGATCCCCCACAAGGCTGAATATAGACCGTGACTTCCTTTGGTTCATTTGGTGAAAGACAATGAGATTGGTGTCATCTCCAGAGGTCTCAAATATCAGGCTAATGTGCCGCATTTCACCTGTCTTTGCAGGTAGTATATTTTATTAAACCTGTTGGACGCACAAATCCTTTGGGTGAGATCCTGAAAACAACCCAGCTCCCCTTTGCCAAAAATAACAGTTTCCAGGCTGTTCCAGGGAACACATTGCAGTTTTATATTTACTGTAAGTAGAGTTTAGGCAGAGAAGGAGAATTGATGCCAAAGGAAAGCCACTGTTCTTTGTCCGCATTCTCTTTTTAATATGGCATCAACTATTGGGGAGAGACAGTTTAATAATTACCCAATGTGCTTTCTAATCCATTTGTGTCAGCTGCAGCGCACTGAAACATCTCTCTGGCTTTCTGCCTGGTACAGACAGCCGCCCTGCCGTAATGCTCAGCTGCCAAAGTTTTAAGTGAAATTTGCTTGTGGATGCTAGCGATGTTATTGACAAGGCACAGAGAATGTAGGGTAACCTGCCATTGATTCCATGCTCAGGATGTGACGAGTACTTGGAAATTTTCTCATTCTCAGCAATTTTCTGACTCTCACTATGCCAAGACTCCCTGATGGGAAATCTCACATATCAGAGAGATTCCCAGCTTCCCATAAATATGAGACCCTGGTCTTGCTCCCCACCCCCTACCCCCACTTCTCCACTTTTCACCTGTTGTTTTCTGCAGAAAACTGCCAAATCTTACACAGTTTAATGGCCTTTGGGAGGACTTCTTCACAGGGAAGGTGCTATTCTGAGAAGGAATTACAGTAATCTCACACAGCTTGATCCTTCTTCTACCCTTCCTAAGCAAATCCGGTGCAGGCAAGAGGCCTCAAAATGGCTGAACAGCCCCGACAGCTTGGCGTTTCTTCCAAACAAATAGGACCACAGTTCTTTAAAGAAATCCCACAAGATTTTGGCAGAGATCAGGAGATGGAACCGTGAACAGAAAAAAAAAATATCTGGGAGGATAAAAGAGATATTTGTTCCCCAGTTTGTTTCTTTTTCTAAACAAAAGAATGAGCAACTGCTAGATTCATCTTTCTCTTCCATTCAGTTTACTGTTGTGAAGCAGAAGACCATATAAGGCTAAATGTGTTAAGGAAATGGATTTTAACTTAAGTCAAAGGCCAATGCCAACAGTAGATATTTCAACGTTTGAGAGTCAACATTTCTCTCTCTCTCTCTCTCTCTCTCTCTCTCTCTCTCTCTCACACACACACACACACACACACACACACACACTCACACACACACACACACACATTGCACATAGATGACAACTGGTATGAATATGAGAGCTGAAACATGAGGTAAGTACTGGCTGTTGCTTCTGATGTTCTCAGCTGCAGGTTCAAATGTAAATGGATAGGCAAAGACTCCTAGGACTGTCCCCCATTATGCTAGACCACTATTGGTGGCATCAAGCCTAGTTCCAATTGAACCTCCTCTAGCATGGAGACAGCACATCCTCCTCCTCAGGGTAGCCAGATCAGCATCATCTCATTTCTTGAACTATTAGAACCAAAGAACTGAAGAACGGGCCACAAAATGTACTGATCAAAGAATTCTGTCTTTTGATGCCATCCACCAATGCAAATGGCATGCCTTGTCTGAGCTTCTGAAGGCTTACTTGGAAATTACATGTGAAAACATGCTAGGTTTGAAGCCAAAGCTAGTCCCTTTCAGGCCTTCTGCACACAATAATCAGGGACCCAGGAATCCTTCTGCTGCATCACTCACAGGACTGGCATTGTGATAATCTCTAGCCCTAAATAGGGGTGGGGAAATAGCCCTATAAGCCACAAAGAGTGACAAAATTCTGTATTGGCCAATCCTTTGGGGAGTCAGTAGAAGTTTAAGAACAAGGCATATTTTCTCCAAAAATTTTTGCCATCTTCAAATATCAATATTCAAAAATGTGGGGGTAAAGGAAGAGACAAAAAGTCCAAAATAAAATAATTAAAAAAATATATACATGTGATGATCATTACATTTCACCTCAAACTACCAATCTGGTTTTAATCACCCTTTAGCTTCATGTCACAATGGGATTTTATCTCCTGTTTTTTTCTGACATAAAGACTGCTATGTGGCTCCCTTTTTTCTGTATTTCAACAGAGGGAACCAGGTGGTAATGGGCAGATTAAAATGATTCCCCATGAGGCATTTGCCTACAGACAGAGGAGAAGCTGTTCCTGATAGCCCCAAACTTTTGATTTTTGCTGAACTTGCACTCTTTATCTTGCTGTGCTGAAGGCCTACCTTCAAGAGCAATGACCATGATATCTGGCTACACATTTTTAGATCTTCTCCCTCTTTCCCTACCTCCAAACTTTAGAGCAGTTTCCACCAAAAAAGGAATTCTGGAAAGCATGAAAGTTCACTTGATTTGTACATTTAAAAAAGGCGGTGCCAACCCCATGATGCTGATGATGACAACAACTTACGATTTTTGCACTTGCTGCTACAATTACACCCTACTGCTATTACTACCGTGTTTTCCCGAAAGTAAGACAGGGTCTTATATTAAAATTTGCTCCAAAAAACCAGTAGGGCTCATTTTCAGGGGATGTTTTAGTTTTTTCATGTACAACAGTCTACATTTATTCAAATGCACTCATGTCATCTTCTGGTTGCTGCACAAGGGTGGAGGGCAGGGTTTCACTTAACTAGGGGTTATTTTTGGAGTAGGGCTTATATGACGAGCATCCTGAAAAATCACACTAGGGCTTATTTTCAGGTTCAGCGAAACAGGGTAGTACTCATTTCTATAATATTTTCTAACTGTTGCACATAAATCCTTAACATGGTTGGGCCTGATCCCCTATACCTGCCTCCTGAGGCAAAAGCTCTATTGATCAGAAGGCTATAGACTCAGTTAATTTGTAAAAACAACACACATACTTGTGCTTTGTTTCATCACAGTCTCGCTCACTAAAAGGCATTAAACCATGGAATGCCTGCTTACCTCCACTAACTTGTTTGCATGTTCACGGAACACTTGAGCGTATTCCTTCACTTCTTTCTCATTACCACTCTTTGCTGCTTCAATGAGAACCAGTAACGGAACGTTGGTCTCGAGGAAGGAATCAGAGATATGATCCATCACCGCTTTCCGGAGCTGTGATAAAAGAGAGCAAAGAGCAGTCAGTATATGAATGTCTGATCTACACATGGTGTGGACAATACTTGCCTGCCATTTGGCATTAGAAAGGCATTCAAGGGTCCCTAGAAAGCTCCTGCCAGAACTGTTTTTACAGACCTCTGTTAATATAAAAATGCAGAGCCTCAGCTTAAAAACAAACACCCAAATTAAAGAGCTGATTCCCAAGCAGCTAAAAAAACAACAACAAAAAGAACACAGAGTACAAAGTAAGTGGAAGACTTAAAACACAACAGTGTTTTTCATTTATTTATTTTTATTCTTCACAACTCCGCTGAAGAAAGACAGATAAAACTAAGAACATTAAGACTAGAAAACTCAGAGAATAAAAATAGAAGTGCCGTCATAGAAAAAGAACAATAACAACAAAGCTAACTGCAGCTATATGTATCCTTTAATGAAAGGCAATAAAAATATCTAAAAAAACACACATCCAGTCATACAGAGTTGACATTAAAAGACCATGTGTTCAAATGCTAAAAGGTCATAAGATCTTACAAAAATGACGAACATCTTCTTCCGTTGCAAACCTTAACCTGCCTTTCAAAGAGAATTCAAAACAAGTAGGGGTCTAAGGCAGGACATCAACATGTCTAGCTCCCTGCCTATCTCATAAAATATGTAAGTGTCTAATCATACGTGAAGATGAACAACAGATTCTCAGAGCTGGGGAAGACAATTTATTAGAAGCCAGACCACTGTGTCATCTCATCTGCTATCATACCATCTCGTATTATCAACTGTGACAGAACGTGGCTCTCCTGGTGCCCCAGTTGTCCTATCCAAGTGCTAGCCACCATCAACATCTTTAGATACAAAACTTGGAGGGGGTTTGTGTAACACAGGGCGGGGCACTTAGGCTAATGAATGGGTATCTTTGGAGCCAAATTATTTCTGAGGATGACTTAGTCTGCCTCAGGGCTCCAACAGGTCCCCAGATGCTCCAAGAAGAAGGGAAGGCGAAAAACACTTCTTAGTATTCTTTACCTAGAAAAGGTCACCAATGGTATGTGATTATTTATTATTCAAAAATACCAGGCATAGTCAAATGAAATTACAAAAACATTGACTGGTATTATATAACAGATACAAGTTTTAACCAAAAACCTAAGTATCTGCTAAATATCAGCACAATATGTACGCTGCTCCTACTATGGCCTTTTTTTTTTTTGGTAGCTCTGATGGTGTGATTTCTGAGATTTGCAACTGCTTATAATACTGTGTGAAATTTTTTTGACATTGTTCCCGAAGCCCCAATGATTACGGGGACCACTGAAGTGTGTTTTATCCACAAGAGAGGTGTTTCGATTGCTAGGTACTTTATTAGTTTTTCCAATTCTTTATTTTCAACTCTGACATCCCCTGGAATTGCAATGTCAATGATCCAGACATTTGTTCGTTCTATTACTACTATGTCTGGTGTGTTGTGTTCAAGGTGTCTATCTGTTTGGATCTGGAAATCCCAAAAGATCTTGACTTCCTCATTTTCTGACACATTATTGTTATTATTATTATTATTATTATTATTATTATTATTAAACTCCAGGCACATTCAAAATTATAAAAACATTTACTGGTATTATATAAGAGATATAAGTTTTAACCAAAAACCTAAGTATCTGCTAAATATTGACACAGTATTATGTTGTTCCTAATATTGTCCTTTTTTAAATCTCTGATGGTGTTGTGATTTCTGAAATCTGCAGCTGCTAATAGTACTGTGTGAAATTTATTGAGTGGTCCTTTCGGACCAGATAGGCGGGGTATAAATCAAATCAAATCAAATCAAATCAATCAATCAATCAATCAATCAATAAATAAATAAATAAATTGATATTGTTCCCAAAGCCCTAATGGCTATTATTGATATTGTTGTTGTTACTGTTGTTGCTGCTGTTGCTGCTGCTGCTGCTGCTGCTGCTGCTGCTGCTGCTGCTGCTGTTGTTGTTGTTGTTGTTATTATTATTATTATTATTATTGCTGTTGTTCTGTAGGCATGGGGAAAAAAACAAAGAAGGAAGCAGAGGAGGTTGTGGTGGGCACACAAGAGAAAAATAAAGGAATAAGAGACAAAACAAGGAGAAGCAGAAGATTTCTCTGTGTGAGGCTTGGACGGCTGCAGGTGGAGAAAATCATGAGTCATTTTCCTTTTAAAGAAATAGAGATAAATCAAACTTTACCTGATCTGGCACACAATCACAAGAATCACAATAATCGGTGGTTCATTTTTAAGTTCCTGGGCACTCGGGACTGACTTTGGTGGATTAAAAAGCCATTGCCTGAACTGACCTGCAGTCCAACCAAAAGATATATGACTTAACGAGTCAAATTTCTTGCTACACCCTCAGGCTAGATGGCTTCAAGCCCGTCGGCTCTGAGTGCGCCGTTTTTCATTTTTAATAACAATTACACCCCCAAAGCTTAAGAAAATACGCTAAGCGGTGACGGTTACATGATCAGAGAACGACTGCCATCCCGACAATGTATTATTTATGGTTTCAGTCATCTTCCCAGTTACCTCAGGAAACCGAGCAAAGTTTGACACTAACGTGTAGTTCGGAGACTAGCCGAGGAGAAGAGCAGGCCATCTGTAACTAGGCTGTTCTGTACCGTGTCTATAGATAGGGTGGCTCATGCGGAGCTGCCATTTACATGGACTGTCAGATCTGAGTATCTCATCCCCGGGGAGATCCCCCGGTTCCTGAAGGCAAAACCTTTTGGGCTACTAACCTTATGAGAATCAGGAGTAATGCTACAGATCACTGATGCAACTCCAAACAGATGGCGCTCGCGGCACGTAACCGAAGCTGGCAAGGATGGGCATTGCCAGAGCCAGTGAAGGCTGCTCAGAGTAGAACAGGGAATTCAACCCCAGTTTCAGTGTGAGCTTCCCAGGAACTAGGAAAATGAAGTTCAGCACCATGGATAGATCCCATAAGGCTCAGGCTGAAACCTGGAACAGATTCACCACCTCACAGACATCAAAGCCATTTGATTCTCCAGCCAGGACTCAGACCTCTGGTGGCTTTTGAATGCCTTCACCTTTCTGGAGCTTTAAACCCTGTGGTCACCAGCTGCCATGCTCCAAACTCCTAGCTCTTAAAAAAATGCTTTGAAATAGGAGCTGATGGAGGAAACAACTAGTATTTCATGAACAGGCCTTGAAATCCCATCACCCTGGCTTCGCAAGGAAAAGTCTTCAGGGTCCCTGTGGGTCAAAAATGGGCAAAGGAGAAAGTATTCTCATCTCCGAAGAATCTGCATAGGCTTATTTCAGGATTTTATTTTGTTTTATTTTGAAAAAGCAGCATGGATTAGATAGAGTTGCTTGTACCAGACAAATGGCAAAATTAAGCCCCCAGCACTGACTTGAAACGATTTCTGATGAAAGTGAAAGAAGAAAGTAGGACTTTATGAGAGTGTTGTGGTGCCGTTGTTAAACTGCAGTACTGCAGTCCAAACTCTACTCGTGACCCAGGGTTCAATCCCAAGTAGCCGGCTCAAGGTTGACTCAGCCTTCCATCCATCCAAGGTCGGTAAAATAAGTTCCCAGCTCACGTGTGTGTGTGTGTGTGTGTGTGTGTCTGTATGTGTGTGTGTGTGTGTGTGTGTGTGTGTGTGTGTGTGTGTGAGATGTGTAGCCTGCATAATTAACCTGTAAACCACCCAGAGAGGGCTTGAACTGTGATGGGGTGGTATATAAGCAGCATGCTTAGCTCTTTTTTTGCTTTGATATTGTCTAATGATCTGGGGGGTATAATCTTTAACACAAGAAAACGTACCAAGGTTGTTGTCTTATGGCTGTAAAACCTAATCAAAACATAGTTATACAGAAAGGGGAAAAGGGGAAAGGGAAAAATCAATTCGATGTGAAGGAAGAAAATCAAGATAGTGATTGTAAAGGTAAGTCAAATAAGCATTCAATAATGAGCAAGTAACTCAATGACGATCTGCTCTTCTGTTTCATATGACCCTCACTCCCTGTGGAAAGTCTTGAAAGGTGTGCACCTGTATTAGAGTATGAATACGGATTTTTTAAAAATTTTAAACTTACTCAAAAACTAAAACAAAAAAGTAAATGCTCATATTCTTAACTAAACAGACAACTAAAAGATAAATATATATATATATATGACAATTTGGGGGTTATATTTCTGGAGAGGTATCCTTCTCCTGTAAAGATGGTTTTTTTAATAAATAAAGTGTACATCGCATCTATATCATTACAAATACTATTTAGTCCATCTTCATTGCAGTTCTCCTGGCTAGTTTAACCTCATCTTCAATATTTTATTTATTTATTTATTTATTTATATTTATTTATTTATTTATACCCCGCCCATCTGGCCTAAAAGCCCACTCTAGGCGGAATCTTCTAGGGGAGAAAACTCAATACTCATACAAATAAACACTGCAACATCCTTTTTGATTTTTTTCCCCTTCCTTTTGGAATGTCCTTGTATGCATGTTGAAAAGTATAGTGTACAGGTTATACATATGCATGGGATACCAAAAACTTAGCAATCCATCAACAATAGCCTATAAGGAATGACTTGACAAAATCATTTGTTAAATGTGACAGGAGTGTGAACATAAGGCATTCTTCTAATAGCTTGAACGAATGCATGACAAGGGAATATTAATTGTCCCAGACAAGATATCCAAAGGTATTAGCTCAGCAGAACCAGTCTATTCTATCCAATTAAGGCCATTCATCAATGTAAATAACTGTAGGAAAGCTAATCTTATCTCCCCGCTTCCCCACACTAGCCATATCTTGCAAGAGGAATCCAGATCTATTTCGGAGGCTTTCTGTAAAACTAGCAACATTTAAGCCCCTAGTAGGAAGCAAAGAAGATCAGTGACACTTTAAAGGTTAGTTAATGCAGGCTGCAGGCTGGATTCTATCAGGTGTTGGTGTGGAATAGATATACCCATCATCTTTTCTCAAAGAGATT